AGAGAGAGAGAGAGAGAGAGAGAGAGAGAGAGAGACAGAGAGAGAGAGAGAGAGAGAGAGAGACAGAGAGAGAGAGAAAGGTGGGGGGGGGAGAGATGGAAAAAAGTAGGAAGAGAGTGATGAGGAAGGGCCCGCCCCGCGAGTTTGGCAAGCAGGACATGCAATCTATATGAATATGTGATTGTATTAATATTAAGCACGTTAATATATGGAGCCCACATAATATTATCATTATGGTTTCAGTCAAATAGTAATACCTTTTTGTCAGGAATGTATTTCAGTGGGCCGTGCACAGGGCAGTGTCCTTCATATTCCCTCTTGCAGTCATCACAGACTGTGCAACAATATAAATATAAAGTATAGGCTGCTAAAACTGTGGGAAGAATTTTCGGAAACAGCATTCATGAAAATTAGCCATCGATTACAACAACCAAGCAAGTCCTGACATGGAACCCTTGCCAAAAAAATATAAATACATACAAAATGTTTGTATTTCTCTTCAAAATACTTGCTAGCATATATCTATAATCAGGTAAACGTTGATATAACCTAGTCTCACCATCCATCATGTGAAGTGGTCACCCACACTCAATACGACATTATCCCCTCCTGGTGTGTACGTGTGTACCACCTTAAGCAGTCTAGTGAACAACTATAAGTCGCGTGGCAGCATAGAAACTGTTGACGAGTCGTTATAGTGAGACGTCGTCGTTAACTTACATATGTAGTCATCATCGGGAACCTTTCCCTCTCTGTAGTTCTTCCACTCTAGGTTGCAGCGCCTCGGATACCTTTGTCTTGGGGTGCGAACCTGCGCTCGGTCTGCCTGCCTGCTCGCACACTCGTCCAACACTGAATCCGCATTACGTTCTGTATTTATAATTACAATCGAAACCAATCTAAAATTAAAGTCATGCATTTAACCATTCAATATATATTCATTGAATGTAAATAATTCGTTTCACTAATATTGCATTTAGCGTTTTTTCTTACCCAAATACACCTGTACACTTGCATTTATTAGTTTAATTTATTGTGCGTGAAATTACATATATATTCAATTCCAGTTTTTGAATTTGGCAATTGTGTTTGCTCATTCATTTAAACGAAATTGCATGCCTGATATTTGACATGGATGAAGTAATATATAATGGCTGTCTCACCAAGAACAGTTTTTGATGAGCAGGTGTGCTCGGTGGAAAGCAATTCTTCTTCTCTTGCCCGTCTGATTTTACCTATCTTTTCCAATTCTGTCTTGTCTCTGCTGTCACCACCCTCTAATTCTGTCTTGTCTCTGCTGTCACCACCCTCTAATTCTGTCTTGTCTCTGCTGTCACCACCCTCTAATTCTGTCTTGTCTCTGCTGTCACCACCCTCTAATTCTGTCTTCTCTCTGCTGTCACCACCTTCTAATGAT